AGGAGTCCTTTAGGAGGCGACTGGATCTTTTATTGTTAACATACCTAGGTTCCTGCTTGGAGCTTTTGGTGATCCCCTGCTACTAGACACGGAAGCCTGAAAACATGAATTACGTGATGAGAGGCTCGATTATCACAAGTTTCTTGCAACGATTAAGTATGTAAAACAAAGTAGCATTAGGTTCAAAAATTTATTCGAGAACTTTCATTAAGAATCGAATATGAAACAAAGGTTTAAACCAAGTTCCAGTCTAAAAGTTGCATTTGTAATGTTAAGCTGCAGTTTTTGTTGTTTTTCCAAACGAAAGGGTGAAAGAAGTAACTCAAAAAGTACTGGAAGTGGTTGTGAGATTAAAATGAACATCCAGCATCCTTTTTATAATCTGCTGTTGGTTGGGTCTCCCGTAAACAGATCCATAGGGCCATAGTTCTAAGGGCGAAACAGTTCTTAGGATCTGTGAAGACTCAGTCCTGTTGCATTCTAAATGAGAAAACAGTAGTGAATTCGGTCAGAAATGTGGAATAGATAAATAACCAAATTACATGTTTTTTAGCAAAGAATTTATGCAGTTGTGATTTACCTTTAGTTCATGAATATTAGGTCAGGTCAGCTATTACTTGTGCAAGGCATTGAGATACGGTATTAAGTCCATGTTATATAACATGGACTTAATACCGTATCTCAATGCTTTTATTATTTTGCTCTCATTTAAGTATTACCATGTATCTGCATCTAGTTTAACAGGGAGACATACAAGCAGAGTTAGTGTTTGATGAACTAAAAGTCCTAGTAGTCAAAACGATTCTTAACATTTGTCCACAGCCAACTGCATTTAATTGAGATACAGACTAGTCATCTTCTAAGACTGTATACTGCTCTTCTGCAGGCAAATAAAAGCTCACACACTTAGCTATCCTGCTACCGATGTTATTGCTGGGGAAATTGTTTAATGACAGTGATCATGAAATATGGTCAGTGATAGATGTACAATCTAGAAATAAACAAACATACTTATCGCTATCTTATAATGTATGACAGCAACAGTACCAAAAGCACTTTTTTTCCTATTTTTAATCAGACTGATTTGAATTAGTATACTCATCAGAAACAGGCAACTCTACTTACTAGACTGATCTATTTCGTTGCAGACTTCAAGCACTATACTTAAGTATACCATAATTCTTTCAACTAAACTGAATTATACGACAACCAAGAATACTAAACTAAGCAAGTGTCATAGTTATTGTTTCATTTGCACAGGCATATTGCTTAAAGTATTTAAATGGACATAATTAAGACTATAAAACAAAAACACGAAATGTAGGCCAATTGAACTTACCGAACGGAAGACAAAGAATATATATATTGCTTTCCGACTGAAGACAACAGGCAGTTGTTCATAAAAACATAGTTTATAGTACAATAAACCTTTCTACAGTAAAATCATGCACTGACAGTCTATCTGGAAACGATCAACTATGTGAATAAACTCACTATAACTTGAGATATCATCCCAGCAGTGCAGTGTAACGCAGTCGGACGTGGCGAATAAAAATATAAAATAAAGATCAAAATTAGCTATATAATCTAGTTATTTAATTAAAAATACATTATGAAATGACAAAATCTGTGGTTACTTGAACGCACAGATGACCGATACATTAAGTTTACATGGTTGCGTTGCGGATAAGATCACCCCATATTGACCACGCCTGTGTGGCCAAGCCATGCCAAATCGAATAATCGTTCCCAAGTTCACTATTTCTGACCTTCTCAACAAGTTCAGTGTGGAATGCAGATCTTTTTAGTTTTCATATATTCATCTACAGTTATTAGCTTTATGATTGTTATTTTTTTTACTGAGTATTATATTTGTAACTCCGCCTGGAGTCCCTCCGGGGGCTACTGCCGGTCCCAAGCCCGGATAAAGGAGGTGGGTTGGGCATGGAGTTAGCGTACCCATTCCGTAGAAAACTAACTCGCTAAAAAAACGCTAACCAGAAAAAATTATTCAAGCCTTTTAACCTCTGCCCTGGAAGTCAGAAGGTCTTCATTTAGAAGAACTATGACGCCTCATGATGAAAGCCGAATTCGTTCAGAAGTTACGAGGCCTATGCCCCTTCTGACAACCAGAGAGACGGCACCATATTCCCACATAAACGCATTCACAAAACCACATGAATTTCACCGGATCACACCACGCAAAACCAAATCGACCATATTTGCATCAACAAAACGTTCAGGAGGACTATAGAGGACGTGAGAACCAAGAGAGGAGCTGATCTAGCATCAGATCATCACTTGCTGGTCGCCAAGATGAAATTAAAACTCAAGAAGCACTGGAAAATGTGGCGGACAATATCACAAAAGTTCAATGCGGCCTTTCTTCAGGATACTAACAAACTCAACAAATTCAATATAGTCCTCAGCAACAAGTTCCAGGCCTTTCATGATCTACTCAATGGAGAAGGAACTACTATGGAGAGCAACTGGAAGGGGATCAAAGAGGCAATCACTTCAACATGTCATGAGGTCCTGGGTCACAAGAAGCACCATCACAAGGAATGGATCACTGTTGATACACTGGATAAGATTCAAGAAAGAAGGAACAAGAAAGAAGCAATCAATACCAGTCGAACAAGAGCAGAAATAGCCAAAGCACAAGCTGAATACATAGTAGTAAACAAACAAGTGAAGAAGAGCATCAGAACCGACAAACGTAAATATGTGGAAGATCTAGCAAAGACGGCGGAAAAGGCTGCAAGAGAAGGGAACATGAGACAACTGTATGACATAACAAAGAAACTCTCTGAAAATCGCCGCAAACCAGAGCGACCAGTGAAAAGCAACTGAAGGCAAGGTAATCACCAACATTGAAGAGCAACAAAACAGGTGGGTAGAACACTTCAAAGAACTCTTGAATCGACCAGCTCCACTGAACCCACCCAACATCGAAGCAGCACCCACGGACCTCCCAATCAACGTTGGCCCACCAACAATTGAAGAAATCAGCATGGCCATCAGACAAATCAAGAGTGGCAAAGCAGCAGGACCAGACAGCATTCCAGCAGAAGCACTAAAAGCAGACGTAGCGGCAACTACAAGGATACTCCACATTCTCTTCAATAAGATTTGGGATGAGGAACAAGTACCGAAAGACTGGAAAGAAGGACTTCTGATCAAAATACCGAAGAAAGGCGATCTCAGCAACTGTGATAACTACAGGGGCATCACTCTTCTCTCAATATCTGGAAAAGTCTTCAACAGAGTATTGTTAAACAGGATGAAGGACTGCGTAGACGCGCAACTTCGTGACCAACAGGCAGGATTCCGTAAGGATAGATCGTGTACAGACCAAATCGCAACTCTACGGATCATTGTGGAACAATCAATTGAATGGAATTCATCACTCTACATCAACTTCATTGACTACGAAAAGGCATTTGATAGCGTGGACAGAACAACACTATGGAAACTTCTTCGACACTACGGCGTGCCTCAAAAGATAGTCAATATCATACAGAATTCATATGATGGATTAAACTGCAAAATCGTGCATGGAGGACAGTTGACAAAGTCGTTCGAAGTGAAGACCGGTGTCTGGCAAGGTTTCTTACTCTCACTCTTTCTCTTTCTCCTGGTGATTGACTGGATCATGAAGACGTCAACATCTGAAGGGAAGCACGGGATACAATGGACATCTAGGATGCAGTTGGACGATCTGAACTTCACAGATGATCTGGCCCTTCTATCCCAAACGCAACAACAAATGCAGGAGAAGACGATCAGTGTAGCAGCAGCCTCAGCAGCAGTAGGTCTCAATATACACAAAGGGAAGAGCAAGGTTCTCCGATACTACACAGCATGCACCGATCCAATCACAATTGACAGAGAAGATTTGGAAGATGTAAAAACCTTTACATATCTGGGCAGTATCATTGATGAACAGGGTGGATCTGATGCAGATCTGAAGGCGCGGATCGGCAAAGCAAGAGCAGCATATTTACAACTGAGGAACATCTGGAACTCAAAGCAACTGTCAAACAACACCAAGGTCAGGATTTTCAATACAAATGTGAAGACAGTTCTACTGTATGGGGCGGAAACCTGGAGAACTACGAAAGCCATCATCCAGAAGATACAGGTGTTTATTAACAGTTGTCTACGCAAAATACTTCAGATCCATTGGCCGGACACTATTAGCAACAACGTACTGTGGGAGAGAACAAACCAGATCCCAGCGGAGGGAGAAATCAGGAAGAAGCGCTGGAAGTAGACAGGACATAAATTGAGGAAAGCACCCAACTGCGTCACAAGACAAGCCCTCACATGGAATCCTCAAGGCCAAAGGAAAAGAGGGAGACGAAAGAACACATTACGCCGAGAAATGGAAATAGACATGAAAAAGATGAACAAGAATTGGATGGAATTGGAAAAGGAGGCCCAGGACAGAGTGGGTTGGAGAATGCTGGTCGGCGGCCTATGTAACAGGCGTAAGTAAGTAAGTAATTATATTTGTACGATATATAGAACTTTCAGCATAGAGTTTCAGAATTTAATCCCGGTTTTGTGATTAGTTTGTATTGCCGAGCAGAAAATCACAATGTTTTGTCTTTCATGATTGCCTCTTCTCATCGTTTACTAATGATTCGTTATCTAGTCCCTATTCATTTAGGCTTTCAAGACATGAAATAATAACTACACTTATTTTATTTACCACAGATGATTTTTGTACCATCCCATACCTCAGGGGAAAAATGACTTGTTATTTCTGCCCAGTGAATTATGAAATCGAACACAGTGCAGCACTTCATATTTCCGTATAACAGAACCATAAGTAACAGAGTTTCAGTTGCCTAAGAATAGTCCATTTCTTACATTATACAAGATAAAAACAAAAATGAAGGATTTATTTGAAAACATTTTATGATTTATACATTGTATTTTGAGTGCATTTTTTCAGACTACGACTAGTTATTGTTGGCTTTGGCGGGCTATCAATGTTATCTCCTTGGGTCAATGATGTTTTGGGCGAATTATCACAGAAATTGGGCATGATAGCTGACATTTGGAATGCTATGGGTTTAGAAGGAGAAAATTTGCGGCTGCGAATTCATTCTCTGTCTTCTCATTTGTTCTTAATGTTGGATGAGATGTATAGTGAAGAAATCTTAGCGAAGCAGACTATCATTGACTCAATCAAAGAATTAAAGGTTCATTCTGGTTTTACCAATTCTCATTATATTGCACAGGTAAAGATTAAAGAACTCGAGTCAGAGCTTGGGTTAACCAACAATATTTCTGAAACATCATCGCTTGTAATGACTGAAAAACTGTTTTACGATCACTTTAAAGCACTCACTGAAAAGTCCTCTTCAGTTCTTCAGACATACAATTTGCTTAAAGAAGAGGAGAAGAATTTGTGTGCGCGGCTTGATGAACCTTCTGTTCCTGAGACATTCATACACGTCCCAAATACTGAACAAATTAGAATCTTAAAAGAAAACATTGATCATCTGACGCTTGAAAAAGTAACTAATGTTTGTGTGTTGTAATTCATCAGCGTTCTCGTTCTCTTCGTTTGTCTAGACTAATTCAAGAAATTAAAAGCTTAAGAGATCTCCTGCAACAAAAGACAATCGATGACGAGGAAATAATCACCCTAATCACTTCTCCTAATCCTATGGAGAATTTATCATTATCAAAAAATTTTCTTGACCATGTTACTAAATTAAGAAACAGTTTAGCACAGGAGTTTGTCAAGTTGGATGATGATTGTCAAAGAATCATTAAAGAAATCATGCATATAGCAGGTCGTCTTAATATTGACCTTGATAATGCTGTGAATATTCAGCAACCGGTATCTGCTCGCTTTTTACAACATGTGAGTTTTGCTTATGTTTTCTCGACTATGACTATATCGTTGTTAATCAAATTACTTATTGAGTATTTATCTTTAGACTCCGACGGAAAGGGTAAATAGTCCCAAGCTCAATTACATTTGGTATACAATGTATGACGAGATTTGATAATTTTGACCATAGTAATCCAGCTGACAGAAGCCAATAGTTTGGACGCATTTGGAAGTAGACTTATCTCCCGATAGTTGTTACAGGAACGAGGTGAACCTTTTTTAAAGATAGGGACAACTATCGACTCATTCCATGACGTTCGTACACTCTCTAGCTCCCAGACCTTTGTAAACAACGTCGTCAGTTCCTTAGCCAGAAAGTCACCATTATCTTTAAAAAAGGGCCGGAGTTAATCCATCTTGGCCCGGTGATTTGTGGCGCTTTAAGAGTTGGAGTTCTTCGCGGACTTCCGCCTCATTTGGTGGATCAGTCGTCACCGGCCATGGAGGGCAGGACATTCTGATTGATGTTGCCGGAGCAGCATGCCAGTTGAACTGCCCTTCAAAGAATTGGTGTAAATGCCTAAGATTCTATGTCTGGATGAAGTTAATCGGACTGTTCCTAACCAATATTGGCGCTGTTCTAAATTATTGCATCATAGGTTAAAATATACCACACCTTTACTGTTTTAGTTTAAATACTATGGTTCATTATGTAATCTACCATCGAAAACTCTATTAAAAACATGGCGCTGTTTAGATCGTGTTCCGTAGCTTTTTGAATTTACTGTTGATAAAAAGTATATCTACTTTTTTAAATGTTTCTCTTATAGCTGAAAGAAGAACTCAATCGTCTGAAAAAATTGCAACTAAGAAGTTTAGCGTCTATTATTTCAAAGTGCCAAGCTGAGTTAGTCGCATGGTGGGAAAATTGCCTTGTTGGTCGAGATGTTCGTCAATCATATTTAGTTTCTGAAGGTCAAGAGTTAAACGAGTCACTACTTATATCGCTTGAATCTGAAGTAAATTTACTAAGTATTAGAATAAAAACCTTTAGATAACAAAATGGAAATCATTTTACTTGGAAAATGAACCACTCTTCAAGGCAATCGAAACGTGGCAGTGCATATTATCGCGTCTTCGAATGTCCGAGGTAAATACTTAGTGTTTTTTTAGTTTGTAATTTTCCCTGTAACATTTAGACTCGTAATTTATATCTTTCTGTTCAGTTAGTATTTTACTGGATAATTGACAGTAATATTCTCACAACTTAGCTTGTAATTCTGGTAACAATCTTTATATATTTATGTTCGGCTATTGTCCATTTCTACGCGCTGTAATGTTTAAACGCAGATGTTTATTAAATTTCATTTTCCTTATTCGTAGGTATTTTTTGTTCGTTATTAATACGTTGCAACTCAAATTACTTAGCACATTTTCACAAAGGTATTAGTTTAAAGCGTGTATCTCACTTTAACTCAAGTTAGGATATAAGAGGGTTCTCTCTAATATGGACAGGACAACGGTTTAAGTCAGTGACATAGTGAATATGAATGGAATAACTAATAGCTAATCCACACTCTGTAAGTTACACTGATTAGTGATCAAATGTATCAATAAAGAGGTGATATTGATCTATCTACATATATCGTTAGTTAATACAGTTTTAATGGACGTTCTTACCAGTTTGACTTAACGTTATTAACTAGTGCTTGTTAAATTGAATTATTTGTCTTATCGGCAGTATGTTCACCTTTTTATGGGTAGTTGAACTTGTATGAGTTAATACGTGTGAAAATTTTTATAAATTTAAGTAATACGAAGACTGAACGTTTGAAAGCTAATATCTTCGTAATATAGTTTTTCGGAATATCTATTCGAATGAGGACTTTACTTGGTTACAATAAAAGAATTGTTACCAGATACTTGTGTAGGATACAAATTTTAAGTGTAAGGATTAACATTGCTATCCGTTTGCTTCAATCAAAGACTGAGCGAGGTTCAAACCCGCGATTTTGTGGTTTAAAGTCTGATGCTTTAATCACTAAGCCACCTTTCCACGTTTATTTACATTTTCATATCGGAAAAGTCGATAGAAGAGCCCCATGTTCAGTAACTAATGTTAAATACCACTATGATAAAAATCGACGAGAAAATACTTTAGACTAAATTTGATTTTTTTTCAGAATAGGAATCTTTAGCGGGTTGGTTACATGTATAATCACTTTCACGTAAGATGTTGTCTGAAGCTAAATAAAGTCTTCCACCTGCCGGGTTTCAATATAAAGCGAAATGATAAAGTTAATCACATCGGTCATCGTCAAAATATGAGTTTGCGTGAACGTGTCACAATATGGATCAAACAAGGTTAATTGTGAATTTTGTCGTTGAATCAACGAGAATATGATTCGGGGTTTAAGGCTTGGGTTAACAGTGCTACAATCTGATTTTCTAAACATTAGTTATTCTATGGTTCTGTTTCCAATTGTAATTTGAATCAATATATATTTGTGTTAAGTATTGCGTTGTCCACTTCTGTCCACCTTAGTTTATTAAAACGTTCAGTTTTCATTCACTCATTGTCTTCATTAACATTTGGTATCCACTCAGTATTGTTGATTTTTACACAACAAGATCGATCATGAGCATCGTAGCTGTACTAACGGATTTACTGTCGTTGAATTTAAAGATTTTCAAAATTCGAAATTTTGTAAAGCCACCAATATTCGAGATGATCTTTGTTTGGTCTAGTCCCTGGACTGATAGTACTCGTTAAGTTGCTACTTTTAGACTTATCATTCTCCAGTCGACCTGCCTGACGTGACAAGACCTTGAGAAATAAGTATTTTAACATGGCTCAGACCAGAAGTTAGTGACTTCAAGCACTGATGCTTGGTTTTGGTTTGGCCGCCCCTAACTTCCAACCATTCCCAACACTAGTCAGCATTGCACTTCGTGGCAATCGGTGTTCAGGCATACGCAACACGTGGCTCAACCATTTAGTCGATGTAGATTCACAACTTCATCAACTGACTTACCATCATTCTCTAATACCCTGCGTCTAACCTCACTATTATGTACCCGGTGATCCCAGCAGCTGCCAGCAGTATTTCTAAGGCATCTGTGGTCAAATACTAGCTTACGAGTATCTTCTACTCTTAATGACCATGTTTCGCTGCCGTAAAGTAAAACAACGAACTGCCGCGCAGTATACTCATCTCTCCTTCGCCATAGGCGATATAAGTTGGCAAAAGCCAAACGAGCTTTTTAAATCCGTGTAGGGATTTCGTCAGGCACTAACCCATTAGGGCTGATCAGACTTTCAAGATAAGTGAAGTTGTCAGTGCGTTCGACTACTTCACTCCCTATGCTTAGTTCAGGTGTTGACTCAGACCAGTCCGGAAGCAACAACTTGCATTTAGAGGGAGAAAAGCGCATTTTAAACATTCTGGCATTGTTGCTTAGTGCTACCAAAAGACTCCGCATTTTATCAGCGTCTTCACCAAATAGGACTATATCACCTGCGTATTCTAAGTCGATAGGTGGACCTCCTGGAAGGAAATCAATACCCGAGAATTCAGTAGACGAGAATGTTATTTCCGTCAATAGGTCTATGATGAAGTTAAACAAAAATGGAGAAAGTGGACAGCCTTGACGGACACCACTTGAGGTTGCAAAAGCAGACGACAGTTCGCCATAAGCTCTGATTCAACTGGTAGTGTTCAAGTAAAGAGCCTTCACAATGTTTATGTACTTCTGAGTCACGCCTTTCAATGACAGACACTGCCACAGAATCTCGCGGTTTACCGTGTCAAATGCTGCTTTTAAGTCAAGAAAGACCACCACTGTCGGACGCCGATAAGTATGCCTGTGTTATAGAATGAGCATCAGACTCGTGACTTCCTAAGGAACTCGGCATTCGTCACGAGACATCGTAGCTCTTCTACATGAAGACTTTCTAGCTCCTAGAGCAAATTTTAAGTGGTTTGAATTATTTTTCCTGGTTGAGTTTTTTAGCTAGTTTTTTTATGGGGTTGGGTCACCAACTCCATACCTAACTCTCCTCCTTTATCCGGGTTTGGGACCGGCAATAATCCCAAAGGCGCTTCAGGCGGAGTTGGTATATTTTTATATGCAACCTTTTTATATTACTACCATTGAAGTAACTGCTTCTATGAATTTGGTATTCGTCTTGTTGTGCTAATGAGGTATGGCAAATTAGACTGATGCATGTATGTTCCTGATCCTATGTTGTAGGTGACTAACTCAATGACCAGGTTACTAAAATTAACAAAAGTAGTCTTTTCTCTAAACATTTTCCATATCTGACAACCTGATTGCTGTTTACAATTAAAATTAGATTAGCGTATTATAAATTACATTGTTTATTAGAATAAGCGAATAATTTGTATAACGAAGAAATTCTTTGGCACGTTTACAGGTACCATTTCGTAGAAGCGGCAGAACACCCATGAATTATGTTACGTCCATGATATTCTTATTTAGAAATCGAAAATGAGAACGTTGATCGTCGCTATAGGGAATTGCTATGTATAATACATAAGATTGAAGTATATCTACGTTTACAAATGTTCTATGTAGTAAACTGAAAATGACATGAGTTATGGAAAAATTTCTTCATCCATTCGAAATGAGTAACTCACTGTAATATCACCCAGGCTTTTGCGGGCAAGCTAAAAAGTGGGAAAAAATTGTTGGAACGTTTTGTTGTAACCTATTACTTGCTTACTTATGCCTGTTATCCCTTGTGAAGCATACGCCGAAGACCAGGATTCTTCAACTAACTCTGTCGTGGTCAATCCTTTCCAGTTATTTACAATTGCTACCAAATCTTTTGATATCTACCTCCAATTCCTGATGCAGCGTGTTTCTTTTTCTTCCTCTTTTCCTATTTCCTTCAGGATTCCGATTTAGGGGTTGCCTCATGATACAGTTTGGTTGTTTCCTCAGTATATGTCCTACCCACATGTCGCATCTTCTAATTTTCTCTTCAGCTGGGAGCTGATTTGTTGTTTGTTATTTTGGGTTTTTGCTGATAATATGTGGCCGACGGATATTGAGTATCTTGCTTATACAACAGCCTGTACATTTTTACTGATGGTTGTAGTAGTTTTCCACATTTCAGCTCCGTATAATAGAATCGTCTTGACGTTTGTATTAAAGATTCTGACTTCGATGTTGGACGACAGTTGCATTTTGATGGGGTTTCGTTTTTGAGGAAGATGGTGTGGTCGTTGAGCTTTGATTATATTATCAGCACGAACTTCAGATAGAAGTGAAGTATGCGGATTTCGTCATATATGACTGTCAGCTTGTCTTGTCGACATATATTTTATTGGTTATTGTTGTTTGACCTGTCATTTTCGGCCTGTTTATTTTGGTCGTATCTCCCTTTTAACTGGTTTTCTGTCCTATATTCGTCAATGATTGGTTTATAGATTGGTTCAATTTCGGTGTGTTCGTTGATTGCTGATTGACTTGAGTGTCAAGCCTCTAAAAATTGCCTGCTGTTCTTAGTATTACTTGAAGACAGGATTCCAACATTTGTCTAGTCGAATGTTTGTCTACAGTTGTTCACATGAATTGATATAAACAAAGATATATCATGGCGTTTTACCGCTAATCGATGTCCATGCAGGCAAAGATAAAGGAGTCGTCCACCTTGTCTGGTACGGTATTTTTCACATTTGGATAGTTGATTTTGTTGATGATTGGTTTCTCTTTTGTCACTTTGTCTTTCAGTTTGTCATAAGATTAATAGATGTGATTTTGCTGGTTCATGTACTATTCCTATTCCAAAAGGCTTTAATAATCTCGTATTTTTTTTGATATTTCTTATACATATGGTAAGATGACCCTTCTGTTGGTTTCTGTATTCGATTTCTTCTTTACTGACGAGTTGCGTTGAAATGTTTTAGTGAACTTGAGTGGGTAGTTGTTCATTTGAAGGGTGGACATTAGATATTTTTCTCCGCTACAAGTATGCTGCATTGCATTCTCGCCTTCGTGCATAAAGTTTGTACGCAGTTGATTTTGTGAGATCTTTTTTCGTTATTACTTTAGTAAATTTGTGTTTGTCGGCTTACGATATGCTTGCATCTCCAGGTTTCCTGTGTCGGTCCTGGTGATCAATACATCCAAGAATGATAGTTTGTTGTTCAACTCCTTTTTCATCGTGAATTTTATGTCATCGAAGATGTTGATCAGTTTGTGGTTGTTTCCTGGCTCGTCCTCTTTAGTGATTACGAAACTGTCGTTCACATAAAAAGTCTACAATTTTGAAATGATCAGCTTCGTGTACTTTGGAAGGTTTATGTCGTTGATAAAGACCACAGATAGGGTTTTATTTTGCAAAACATGGTTTTATTGAGATCCTACGTTGTAGATGACTGACTGACTCACCAGACACCATGGTTTGTCGATAACTCTTGGTTCCGATCAATTCTTTGTATATGGGCTTCTGATAGAAGCCATTTAAGGAATTACCAGGTATTTTTAGTATACCTGTTTGTCCAAAACAGTTTGTGTATTTCCCCAGTTCTCGAGAAAGAGTTAGGCGACTTTACATTCCCAGTCTTACCGCTTTGTTGGTTTAGTTTTATAGTTCACGCAGGATGTTTCAACAATCATCATACCAGACAATTAGTCAGTTATCGTAACTCTTGAATATCTTAATATTTTTAAATACTAATAACTGTTCTTTTTTTAAGCAAAAAATGAAAGATCCTTCCGTTTTAAAAAACCGAGGCGGGATTTTGTTGGTTATTGATAAAGAAATTAAACAATTAAAGCGTGATCTCAGTCGTCAGTATTCTATCTTAAAAGAAATTTCTATGAATTACCCAAAAGTAACAGTTCATGGATTATCAATTCTTGATTACTTGGATTTCTCCGAACATCAATGTAGAATAGAAAAAGAAAATCAGTTAGTTAATCTTAATACTTTACCTATTTGTCGCTTTTTCTCTTTGTGTATACTAACTTGTTAAATGATCTGTTGTACCACGTTCCATACCGTATTTTCCCGTTTCTGGTTATAGGAGTTTCAACCACATTTTGCCCTAGCTTTTGTTATACTCTATTATCGTAAAAACTAACACAGCGTTGTCTCAGCCGAGTATGATAACAACAATCTAAACGTAAAATTATTGGGAAATCAATGTTTAGACCTATGATTTACAACGGTCACATTTAGCTAACTTTTAGTATTTTTTAAATACAACATAGAAATTTCAAAACTATGCAAATTATCTTGTTAAATATACTTTTTATATGTGTAACTATAGTCCAACATTATGATTACTTCATTCTTCGCTATTGTCTCAAACGTAATTACTATTCCGCTTACATTCAGTCTTTAGATATCCAAATAACATCAATAACTGTCACAGAACAGAAATATCCCATTAACTCATTTAATTGTGAACGTTTTTATTTTGTAGTAGAATGTCTTCGAGATAATTATTACAACTTTGTATATCACTCGTTTTAGTAACTGTTATTAGATAATTCACAACGGTGTATAAATTTTAGAAGACAATAGAAAGTATTGAATACAGTTTATTACTGTACAGCGTGGATCACAAACAAACAACCAATACGAGCAGAAATATGGATGCGAGCGAATAGGGACGATTGAATTTATAAGATTCAAGTGCATATATATAGGAAACCGAATGAGTGATATAAACATCAAATATTTATGCTAGTAAGAGGGATATATGTGTAGGCTATAACACGTATGGGACGGGATGGTAAGGAATAAAATTCATTGATTTCCACCCTTTATATTTTTATCAGTTTAGGGCTGTGGAGATTGCTAAGTTTAAACTGATATCATGAATGGATCAATGCTAGACTACCATTAAGAACCTGGAAACACTGGACGGCCGTTTCGTCATTTAACCTCTAGACCTATGAGTCGACATCCAACCGTGTTAGTGTCTAACTTCCACCGATCCAAGATATTGAGCGACCGTCAACCATTGTCTTCAGTCAGCAATTACTTCACAACAAACATGGTTGAAATCTACTGGTCGAGGCTTCGAGTCCCGCTTATGGGATCGTGGATTATCCCACTAATAATAAATGGGAATATGACTTAAATGTCAACTGTTGTCCAGATGAAATACGTATAATTCCAAAATGGTATAGTATAGGGTCTCAGTGGTGAATAAATTGTACATGCGAACGAATCGGACAAAATTGGGAAGTCCCTTCTTAATAAACGAGTTTATTGTGATCATAGTTACTCGTTTTCCTGAAAACAAATTAACCTAAACAACAAGTGAAAATAAACATGTTCTTTAGCTACAGGATTCAAGCTAGGGACACAAATAATCCACGCGAGACTGAAGGTCCTGTGTTTCAGTCTCGTGTGCGGAATCATGGATGTTCACTGCTGAGCAGTACCATGCTAGGACAAAATGGCCATTCAGTGCTTCCAGGTTTTCACTAGTGGCTTAACATTGATCGGTTCATGATTTCAATGAAATTATAAGAAGAATGTTTACATTTCAGTAAAGGAAATGTTTTGAACAAATTGTTACTCTTCAAATGACACAATCTGTTACATAAGTTCATTGAAGGTCTTAATAAAATTAAACGTATACAGACTCAAGCGTTGGTTAAGTGCTATGATTTTATAGCATTAATTACAACTATCTCATGTTTTATATATTATCAATCATATATTTCAGTGAAAATGTTTCTTGTCATTGCATTATTGCTTTATGTCTTTATTAATCCACACCATAGAAATCCAGGAAATCTATCTAGTTCCTTTATTAAAGTTGGAAATAGTGCTAAAAGAGCTTTTGATGCGAATAAGTCAACTCTACTTACTCCAATAAGTGGAAAGAAACCGCGTACAAATTTATTAAATGTAAGTGGTTAATTGTCACATTTTTTGTTCAAATCCATTGGTTTATTCTTGTCGTGGTTGGTGTTCAATACAATCCTTAAACCTTGTATACAGTTCGTCCTGATAACTGTCTTTAGATAATGCTCCAACGATGTATTAACCAGAAGGCGAATACGAAGTTTTGATTAAGTATATTATTGCACCACGCACATATAACCAAAATTACAGGTACGCTAAGCAAGCATGAAAGATTAGTGCGGAAATGCAACAATAATAAAGGTACAAGTGTACAGATAAATTGTTATTGTACAGATGACTCTCCGTTAACAAAAGGGCTTAACCGAAGTAAATGTGAACAAACTGAATTGTACGTGAGCTGCCATATTCTCTTTCTGTTTTTTAAAATTCATAACATAAGCAATAAAAACGTTCGTAACAGTCGAACATCACAATTCCTATTAATTCAATTTATACAGTCGGGTAGTTTTAATATCCTGAAAGTTTGGTACCATTGCTATCAAAGGCATTAATCATGGAATATGATACACAATTTTGTGCCTACAATTGATTAGCATGTGTTCATATAACTACTATTTACACTGTTTAGCAGTATTAAATTTTGCCGCTACACCATCAATTCTAGTATTCTCGAAGAATATAAAACAACTAAAAAAACTATTATGTATAAAATTATTTCTTCAATTTTGATCTCAATTCATGTCAAAGGGTTTTTCTAGTCTTATTAGTGTATAGGCAATTGTTAACAGTTATTCAATCAGGTTTGAATTCATACTTTTGTAGCGTTACATGTTGATAATTTGGTTAATTTTGTTGCTCAGGTTTTAACCTGAGTCAGCCATTTATAAATAATTTGTAGTAGCTTGTACACTACATTTCAACTTCATACCAAAAAGCAAAATAGTCAACACGATACTGCTTTTGACTGCAGAAAATCAACCATAAAAATATAGTTCGAAAATAATGAATGAATTCGTGTAATGAAAGGTGCGAAATGTTTTTATGACTTATTATTTAGGAATAGATATAGAATCAGTGCAAATATACTCGTGCTACAGATTATGATCTCTGTTACCCGCCTTTTATCCGTAGATATCACGATCATACAGACTGTAACCAAGAAGTGTAAATATCTATAATTTGTTCAAACCAGTAACTACTGACCTTATAGATCGATGCCAGTTTTTATTTTCTCTCCATGTATCTAACTTCTCAACTATTCCTATACACTGCGCGTCATATCGCGTCGGGTTAAATGACGACTTGGGTTTCTTAGCTAATAAGTTGGTGATGCATGAAAGTCAATTCCCTATATCAAGTCGTTCATCCTGTGTTAACTCATTTTAGTCAAAATGAGAATGAAAGTACTTTGTTCCTGACGCTTTCAGTTAATCTACTCATTTTATTCATAGTATATCATTTTGTTAATTATATTCAAGCGGCGATCTGAACTACTTAGTTGTTTGAACTCATTCTAATAAAATTACTGTTTGCTGTTCTCTAGAGGTGCAATAAACTTATACGGTGTCTAAGTCACTTTACATTTCTGATAAGATCTGGAGTATACTGAATAGTCAGTCATGTTCAGTGATATATTTAGCCTTTTTCCAGAGAATTTCATAAATATATTTTTTTATTTTTCGAAAAAACCAGTCTACCATAGCAGCATTCAGTAGCAATTCCAAATTAACCGCCGTGCAATCACCACTTTTGGCTTGTTCTAGTATGGTTTCATTACATGGAATTGGTTCTATAGATTCTTTGTCATCAGTTCACACGCCTATAACAAAGACCAAATCTTCAGTTCAAACTCCAGTCACTTCCTGTGTTTCGTCGTCGAGTTCACCTCAGAAAAATATTGCCTCAACTATATCTGCAAAACGTCGAAGTGCAAGACTGAGTGGAAAGAAAGTCTGCTCAACACTACGTGTTTTACAGGTATAAGATTTCACATTTTACTGTTACTTACTGTAAACGTTAACATAATTTATTTGGATTTCCACATCGTTAAGAGTTGAATTTAGTTTTTTTTTCAGTAGTGCACAAAATCATTTCTTTTCAAAGCAGATAATCATTTGCAAGTGTGTTTTTATGATTGAAAGTCAGATACTTGAAACATAAATTTTATATCAATATTATGTCATGACGCTAAACAAATTCAAGCTTTGGGCTATGGCTTTTCATTTAATCTACTTAGTAATTATAGCAATGCATGACAACTATTGTGAAACTACGTATGAACTCATTCTCACTGCCTTCACTGTCTACATCTTTGTACAAATCAAACAATATATCTGTCTGTCTATTTAATATTTTACTGAATGCATAGAATTTGATACAATTGGGTATCAGTAATATTGTGTGACAAATATTTTGATTTGGCTTGAGATATTACCTGACCTCTTAAACCGCAAAAGTTAATTTTCCTTTGTTAGACACTTCTTAAGCCTTTGGGCTAGAGGTTTAACCCATATAGCAGTGTTAAGAGATCCCGTCTCATGATAGCCGATGATCAAAAATAGGTTCAAACGTCATTTGTTTCCTCAAGATTCTGGGACCCTTGTTCACCTTGGGTTTGTTGTCAGTGTCTTCCAATTATAGATAAATCTTCCGTATTCAGTAACTCAGTTTATGAGTCCGACGCATGCTTTATGTCCGTTGATTATCGTGAACAACATCCTCTCCACGTAAAGGCAGTAAATCAGACATACCTGATCGAAACTATAAACGCATGGATTTACAAAAGAATTTCTAGAGGGAAAGTAGACTCTCCTGCAGTTATCCTTACCTGGAGATCTACAAGCTTATCTGTTTTTAAAATTCTCAATCACAATGTATAGACGTGCATTATTGTACTCTCTGACTTTAAATTTTCCTGAGAATGCCAAGTTGTTAGTGTTTACAGATCAGTAATTAATAAGCATACCAACTTGAATGATAAGCTTCCTCATTCTACCTAAAATTGAACTCCTGTTGTTATTTATTTATTTTGTTAATTATTAGATGAAAAATGTACAAAACAATAGTGATAATTCTTTCCGTTCTCCTCTCTCTACGGCACCTAGATCTGCTGTGGTAAGTTAATGTCAATTAAATATGCATTTGTCTGCTGCAGAAACTTTATAACTCTTTAATGATTGGATTTAGACGTTACTCTACCACCTTCTAGGTTAGATCTTGACATCCAAGGTTTGATGTATGGGTTGTCCAATAAGTTACTTGATCCAATTTTTTCTTTTGTATTAATTGTTTCGGTTGATGTATTTTTTAATGGCTGGTACTCTATATCAAGCCCAATTTATTCATTCTTCCGAAACCACATTTTGACCTTGTCACTTACTAACCCTGACTTTTTAAAATGATCGCATGTCTGTTAGTTGCTTTCCCTATGCATTATGTGTTTGTAATTTATTTTTGTCTGAATGAGAATATTCAGTCATGTTTGACCAAAACAAGTTGGCTCACTCGACATTTCGTTTCTTTGATTATCTGTCCGGACAAATGAGTGTATGAAATATGTATATTTAAAATTCCTCCTCGTATTTGCCTTATTTTATTCCGTTATTCTATAACGTGAATGAAATCGATAATTGTGTACGATGGTTGGCGGCATGTATATTCCGAGAGCAATCAGCATACGACTTAACTAGAGTCCAATATCGGGCCACTAAAATCAGTTTCTTAACAAAATACTCATAATTCTGTCTATGAAACAATGCATTTAGATTGTATTTTATAATCTGTATTCACATAAGGATAATCAAGTTACAACAAACCGATCTAAACAAAAAGGGTGTTTAGTTGATCAGATCAAAATTTTAGTAGTATTAGATCTTGCTATCCATCATTCATAATCGTTTTAGTTAATTAATATGAAAGCTTTTATTAATACGTCCATAGTAGACTATTCTTAGATATCTTATTTGTAAAATTGTTTCTTGTTTTAAAAATATAGAAATCTTCACGTACTGTAAATAACACGCCGACACCATCTGTGAAAAATAGAATACAGAGAGCTCCATTCCGTACTTGAATTTCATTTAAAGTATTTAGTTATGTATCCTCATTTGTACAAAATCATAATTATTTTTCATATTTACTTTTCATGATTGTGTATATACGCGTACGTTAATCCATAAAACACTGTTAAATTGTTTACTTTATTATTATTTCTTTTCAAATTCTCCATTAAATCTCTTTTGTTAGTATAGAATAAGGCTCGCAGGTATTGTTTGGTTACATTTGGCTGTATCACTTCCAGCTTTTTAGTAGCACCCCACTATTTAAGCTGTGATGAGTATCAGGAAACAAAAATTGTCTAGACTTTAAAATTGCTTAAAACATTTAGAGTAACATTGTGTGTTGCAAAGTCATCCTATTTAACTTATAAGTCAGCTTACACTCTCTAACAGATAAAAGTCAGTTAAACATAAACAGAATTCGCATGATCTCCAAGTTCGATTCTGTGAATAATTGACGTTTCCTAAATACCTTACCAGTGGGTTATGGACGCTGACAGCTATATTAACATCAATTGTAGTAGTGTTACACAGCACGTAGATTTATATATTTTAAGTGCAACAACTACACTCTACATACGATGCTGATATGGTATGGGATATGGATGATAATCTGTGGCGTACGTATAACTTTCATAATAGACTGCACATATATGCTTTAATCTCCTTATGACATCTGATCCATCTGGCATATCAAAAAGCCGTACAAAAGTTTGCGGAGTGCTTTCCTGCGTAAAATTTCAAATTATTTTACTTCAGCTTAACACAATGTATTCGCATTAAGAATTCATTACTTGACATTCGTTGTCACTCTTCATCGCAAAAATCTTGTTTCTGTAAGTCCTTCGAACTAATTATTTCTAATTTTGGTGCATTATATTAAATTACTTGTGGTTTTAAAGAAGACTACGGTGATTATGTTTACAAAATATATATCATTTGACAGGAAATATATCAACGACCAACTCGCATTTGCGTGTAATTATCGTTTAGTTAGTATGCTACTTGAAACCTTGTCTAATGAAGCTTTTAAATTGTAGTTTGATGGTTTCAAAGAAAAGTGTGCAGACTATAGACCCACACACGTTGACTGACAACCGTATGATCAACCTTTATAATGGCTACAAAGGATGACAGCTTTGTGTATTTTAAGTACAGCGAGTAAGTATACACGGTATATCTCTGCAACATAGATTGAAAAGTTAGTGTTCAGTTACTCAAGAAGACTAGATTACATTTCATGTAGGTAGTCTTATTATCTTGATAAGATATTTGAACAATTTAATTAGATTATCATTAGGTGCCTAAAATCTGCAATATTTCAGAATCTAAATTATAATTAGGGTCTACCATACTTATAGAATCAAACGTAGTCAAGGATTTTGTGCGAACACAAGTTGTTACAGTGCAAGAGAAGTTCTGAAAACAAAGTTTAAAGAAATCTTATTAAAATGCGACACTTAAGTAACAAATGTAACAGAAGGCTTCGTTTGTCACAAAAAGAACAAGGTATTAACGAAGCTCTATATGGTTTGAATTTACAGTGGTTATTAGATGAAGTCAACACTGGGTAGTGGTAATTAGAACTAATTTCGGCTTGTTTAAAAACCATAGATTCAGAAAACAGCAATGTGTTCAAAAAGGGGTTTTGTCAACTGAGCAAAGGAAGATTAGCAACCGTCTGCTTTTGAACTTAGAATTTCGAATTAGTGCTTGTTTTTTACATACATTAGGAGTTCAGTGTGATGTATTAATTGGATCCCAGGGGATCACTGCTTGGTACATTTATTGCTCTTAAGCACAAGGTCTTAGAAACGTGTCCAAAAGATTCGGAGTTATCCTACAGACCGATTTGCTTCGGGGTATACACGGATTGGATACTCATTAAACGATAAAATTAATAGTGTTTGTAAACTTCTGATTGAGTTTATGAACATGTTCGATGGACGACGGCAATATTTCTTAAAATTCCTGCCTGATTCATCCCCGCGCTACTTTTTGATCATACTGCAATATTGTGACTTTACTCGAAAGTTTCTCTGTAGCGGATTTATTGGGACTTGTATACATCGTGGTCTGGAAAATTATTTCTTTTTTTTTAGAAGAACCGTATTTTTCAGACTGGTCTTGTTTTGCTTCTTGATCGTTAGGATAGTATCCTTAAACAGATTATACACCTTGTTTGAATAGATTTCTTTATAACTATTCCTCCTGGATGTTGAAATGAATAAGATCGTTTTCTCGGAAAAAATCCCAATTGTATGCAAAACAATAGACTCTGGCAGGTTCATTTACACATACACACATTACAACTCATTTAGAACCATAAATTTCCTAATAAGCATTGTTCAGTATATATTCTTCCAATGTATGGAGTGTCGTCCTTTGCCCCGTTGTCATCATCATCATCTTTTCACTTTCTTCATCTTTCTGCCACAGATAAGCATTATTTAGATTGAAAAATGGATTATTATTTGTTTGAAATTGATATTCTTTCTCTTCAGGTAATTGATACGAACGCTTGTTAGCACATGTATTATCATTCTTCTCTTTACCGTTTACTTGTAAATTTATTTTCATAGTATATGCATGTAACATCATATGTTTTAATTTATAATCCAAGTTAACATTATGCATTGCATAAACGTTATTTAGGTAAACGATATTAGGATGATCGAATGGACGACGAACGTAGGTGATATCACCAGCGATTGGATGACCGAGACCAATTGCGCAATGTACACGTAATTGATGACGACGACCAGTTTTAGGAATAAGAAGTACATGTGTGGCTGGTTCACCCATTAATTTGCCATAGTCCAAAACAATAACTGTCGTTAAAGATTCACGTGGTCTCTGAAATAAGATTACATACATTAGAAAGTAAAATGAGGATTTATAAATGTAGAAAGATGAATGGAAACAGTGAACTACCTTACTTTCAAATGTAGTGTCATGCATCGTTCCTCAATCTTGGTGTTTCTCTTCAATTTTTCTACGTTTAACACCTTAGAAAAACAGCTCTCAACTAGATGCTAGAGGTCTAAATTCGTCACTGAGGGAAAATATATTCCAGTTTTTAGTGTACTGGCAATTTCACAGTCATAATCGTTGTGAAGCTTGGTGCAAATATGATCCGGCCCAAGTCGTCAGACTACATTAGTTTGACGAGGTGAAATTGACAAGATGAATAGCAAGAGAATCGAATTATTGTAGTAGCAATAAAAATAAGAAAGACTAAGCTTTGGGGATACTGTTCGGAAAAATAGGATGAAAAGACACGTATAGAGGAATATTGAAATCGAAAGTAAATGCATTTGTGCTTGACAATATCATTAAATACAAGCTACCAATATCAGAATTACCCATTTGACGATACGTGATTTTTATAATTAAATTTAATGTACCTTTTATGGCTGTATCCTTTGATGAAGTCATTTTGAAACATACTGCTTCCAAACAATGTAAAATGTATGAGGAAAATGATGCTTATAAACCTTTTAAAACGACCTCTTGACTAATAGCGTAATCAATCAATTCATAATTCCAATACTGTTAAAGACAATTTACTTACATGACATTCTGGATGTGTAATAGGAACAATTATCTTTTGTTTGCGTCCAGTGTTTGGCCAAATATATCGAAATGAACCAATTGGCATTTGGATATGATGTACAAGCTTTGATTCATGTTTGACGAATGATGATGATAAATCTGAGTCACAAAATGACCCAACATAACCCCAAACTATAGCTAAATAATACTTCTTGACTTCTCTTTTCTCAAATGCACGCCTGATCTGAACACAAAACAATAGTGAAAAACATAACAGAGATTGTGATATTTATTCTCAATATCACTGTTATAAATGTTGATGTGAGATCGATCAGTTGTCATTTTTCTGTTGGCTGTGTTTATTTATTTCAACACATGGATATTGGTACAGAGAAGCACCAAATACATATGCGCCACACAAATCTTATTCGATATGTGTGAGGGCTGTGATACTGCCCGGGTGCCCAAACCGAACCAGGTGGTTTTCTTAGGGGGCCACACTCCGAGCCTTCGACCTGAGGGTCTGACCCACAAGGCAGTGGAGCATCGTCAGGAGATGCAGTCCCATGGAAGCCGGTGACCAACGATTGGTTCATTCGCCATTTGTTCCCGCAGGATACTGGAGCCCATGTGCACCATTGATTTGGTTTAGGATCCGGTTAAAGCGCCGGACATTCGCTTTTCGGCCTCTCAATTTCGTAAACAACACCCCCGCCACGAGAAGGCATTGAGTAGGACTTCCCTGTTAGAGGCTATATACGCGTGGCCATGTGAGAGCATTTCGAGAGGGAGAGCGGACTCTCCCCACTCTCGGCCGTACCAGGGCATTCGGAGGCTGTTGGCTGTACCATAGAAGTGTATTCATTCCTGTACATCTGAAAGTGTGATTATCGAGTCAAGGGAACAGTTATTTGAAGGCAGTCGTGGATGATCATTTTGTAATTTCAGAATTATTAGTTCTGTACTATTTAAGACACTAATTGGTACCGAAAATCTGGAGTGACGCACTGTGGATTTTTTCAAGTCATTTTACTCGCGGCTCCACAGGATTGCTGGAGATGTGGATGGACACCACCAGCTTAGAGGGATTGTTAAAAATATCGCACAACGGGAAATTGAGAATGTTGATTTTGGAAATGGGTACGATGAAATATTGTAAAATTATTTTTAACTCCTTATACCACTCAGAAAGCTTACTACTCTTTTGATCTATGTTTGTTATTCGGTGGTACTAATGAAAAAATAATGTGCACATTATGATGAGTCTTTTATTTGAACACATTAATATTGGTACAAAGGGGCACCGAACACATATGTGCCACACAATCTGCTTGATTTGTTTGTGGGCCATGATACTCCCCATGTACCCAGACTAAAGCAGGTGGTTTTCTTGGGGGGCCGCACCCGGAGCCTTCGACCTAAAAGTCTGGTCCACAAGGCAGTGGAGCAACTTCAGGAGATGCAGTCCCATGGTAACCGGTGACCGACAGTCGGTTCATACGCCATTTGTTCCCTCAGGATATTGAAGCCTATGTGCACCATTGGTTTGGAATCAGGATTTTCTAACTCCCCTAAATGGACCCTCCGTGTCCAACCCAGTTAAAGCGCCAAACATTCGCTTATCGTCCTCTCAATTTCGTAAACAACACCCACGCCTCGATAAGGCAGTGAGTAGGACTTCCGTGGCAGTGGCTGTAAACGCGTGGCCATTTCAGAGCATTTCCAGAGGGAGAGCTGGTTCCCCCCACCCTCGGCCTTACCAGAACATTTAGGGGCAGCGAGTCATACAGTATTTGATTTATGTTTGCCGAGTCCAAATCATATCAATTACCAGGGAAAATAAACTAACTTGTTTTACTTATTTGGATTATACATTTAAAATTTACTCGGTTCTCAGAATGCAAATATTTTTATGTCTAAACAGAAATTCCTTGGACGTGGAAATGTGGTCTGTTGGTTTAAGAACCCCGCTATCAGTCAATGGATTCGAAGTTTGGAAATGAATTAAATGTAGGGAACTGAGTAGTGCTCCATAAACACGATAAAAGTCAAATTTACCACATAAACCTGCAGATGGTCAGTAGGTTCAGTTAAACTAAGAAAATCTAAATTATTAATGGTGTACAGTTAATAACAAAATAGTTAACATAATAAATAATCAAAATCGTACCATACTTGCAACTTTTGTATCATAAGCGATACATATTAAACCGCTTGTTGGACAATCGAGTCGATGGACAAAATGAAACATATTTTTCAGTTTCCAGTTAGCATAGTGTGGACGGTTGTAGAACAACTACAGATAACAGAGAAACCGTTAGAATTATAAGTATGAAGTTATAAAACAAAAACATTAGCATCAATTCAGTTTTAAAGATTCTTGTGAATACTGAACTACCCAGCGAGATACAAGTTAGTATACATAACATACTACTAATACTGTTGACCAAGTTTTTTATTTCTATCTGATGTGAAATCATAGTGGAGATGATCACTTGAATGTAAGCAAAATATGTGTTGCTATCAGGTTTGGCCAAATGAGTCCTTACATTAATAAAAAAACTAATGATCAAACATCAGGAGTACATACAATCATTTTTACGCGAAAAACTGACGATCAAGATAGTAAAATAAATGCACAGAAAGTAGATGACTTACAAGTAAATACAATAGTCATATTTCTAATTACGTTCAAAGAATAGTTCTTATTTCAGACAGCAGAAAGCTGTAACAAATTATACTTTGTTCATGGACTATTCAAATAGAAACTACAATAGATTGTTACTATGCAACTTAAGAGACGCCAGTATAAATTGGATTCTCCGATTGTTAGAATGGTGTATCTTTTAGTCTACAAGTCCCTTTTTGATCATTCTCACCGATTTCCCATTCCTGTGCCTTTTTAAAAGCTAGTAATTTTAATCACTAAACATTAGTTTGAAATTACAGTTTCTTGTACTTGTGAATCAAATGGACTTGGCTGACTAGTAATTTAGGTAAACTTGGCCATTAGGTGGCTAATTGAGACCTCGCTTTATCTATAACAATCAAAAAGCAACTTATTTTTTCTACTCGACCGCTCAAACTGAAGATGGAGCAGGATTGATACATGTAACTAAGTCAAGTGACCTAAGTAGCAAGCCACCGTTCTGCTGGTTTATGTACATCGATATATAGGATTAATCTACTAACGACAACTAACACACTAAAGTAGTTAAGCAATAAACAACTTTCTTCAATTATTGTTTTAACCTCAAATAGTTCTTAGAAACATTTAGTATGTTAGGTAACCATTATTTCTCTGGCTAGTGTGTGGATATTAACTAGACGAAATGGGACAGAATATAATTTGCTATGATACAGAATTCCTTGCGATATCAATGAAATGAAGTGGTTAGAATTGATCACTGTTTTTATTTTAATGTTGTTTTTTAATTTACGTTACTAAAGTAATCAAAGTACATAAGTACTACATTAATCTTGAGATCACCTCTACAATTTTGATAGCCCAATACATGTTTTAAAAATCCAGAGAATTGACTGACCTGCATTTGTAGAGTTAGACAGTTAATCCATGGGGTTGTGCAGTTTATAAGTAACTCGGGATGCTTATTTATAACTAAGAAGCCTTGATTCTCATGAACTACGCGCAGATCATTTATGCGAATCCAACAGTCTCTTTTTCTACTCAGGATTTGATATAATATTATTATATTCCAAACGACAAGAACATAAATTCTAAGAAGAAAAACTCCAACTTCTGAAACAATATTGGATATCGCCATTTCTATCTGGAATAGTTACACTCTTCATTCAGTGCAGCTTATAAACGTGATACCACATAATTACAGGACAGATGAATCTAAAACAAAACAAACACAGTAATAAATTTAAATACACAGAATATCTAGTGAAATGGTCAAAATTGAAATCATTATGTAGGTTAACGAAACTTAGAATAATAAACCAAAACGGGGTTAAATACAAGGGTAAGACTAAATCAATCAACAACGTAGAACTTCGTACGTAAGTACATCAGTTCGAGTTGCCATACCACATTAGCATAGAGATATAATTGTCGATTCAAATCCCGTAGTGGTAGAGATAGCAAAAACATAAGCAGTAGTCGGAAACATTCGAGTTATGTTATTCAAGGAATATAATCCAGTGAAAAAAAGGAATATGAAGAATAGAATTTGGGAGAACACAAATAGTGGATGCACCTGCGCCATTGCAAAAGATTTTGAGCCATGTCAGTCAAGGTCTATAACCATCGGTTGCTACTGTCTCGTGAATCGCCACCAGGTACCCTACGCCTACCAACATGGCTCAGTACATTAGTCAGTGACTTCATGGATTTGTACCCTTTTACAAGGGTAAGACTACTAAGTGAACCTAAGAAATAGGCAAAACGAGTCTTTGATCATTTACAATTACATGTCAAATGAGTCTAAAGAATTGATGCGAGTAGCAGAAAATAATCGTTTTATTGTTGAACCTTTACAACAACTCAGTAGGCGCATAAAATGGATTTACATTGAATAAGTAACCTGGGGACAATAAGCCTCAGTAACACAAGCGTATAGTTACGACAAATCGGTAGACAAGATTAGTAGTTTATAGGGTATTGACGTTTAGCTGTTGTTATATTTGCGTCTAGAATGATGGTACCTAGTGCAATGTGGAAGCGTGAGGAGCAGTATGTGAGAGAAAAAGTGGAGACTACAGTTTGTGGATGACTTTAGAACGAGTCCCAGGTAGCCTTGAAAAATTTCAGCCAGTCAGAAAAAATTTAGCTTGCCGTAAGAACAAACCATACGAAACTCGAAAATCAGAATGGACACTTTCTAAAATGGTTTCGAAACTTTTCAAGGTTAAGAAAAAGCTCTGCAGTTCTGAATCTGCAATGAATAGGTTAAAGAACTCATTTGTGTGACTCTGTAACAGCCGACATATGGGGCCATGATATGATCGCAAAAATTCTTCTAGCTTCGACTATATTGGTTTGTACTCCCGTGGTTTGGCTTACAGAATGTTGCCTATGAACAACTATTCGAAGCACGTAAGCAAGTATTAGACAGACATCGATATGCCCATCATTCGTCTGTGTACTTTGTGGTTACCACGTGCACATAATCCCGTAAAATTGGAACAATCGTAGTAGCGTTACTGATGGTCTTAACATCCAGTTTTAAGTTACCATAACTCGTCTTAGTGTCAAACAAGTTCGAGTGAATTAAGGTCACCGTACTAGCAGATCTTACTTAGCAACAGATATTACATCGGAACACAACATTTTAGCGATAGTCTACACAATATCTAGCAGTTACTTAATTACCGCAGTTATAAGTAAATGAGCTTCTAAGTGATCTCACTTATTGTTGATGCTCAATTATAACGTCTCCATGAAATTAGCTGTAAACCGACCGTACACAATCGTTGTTTATTCATATAGGCACAGTGGACGAAAAAATAAACTAGACCAAAAAGTAAGTACACAAGATGCACTTACATCTAGTGATGATAACAAATGATGAAAACTCTAAATAACGCAAGAGTGAGATTCAGGCAATGTTATAACTGAAATCAGCAGTTGGCCATGTACGGCTTCAAATTAGTGGACACATGAGCTCTCATATAACAACGAGTTAGCGTTAACCTTCAAACATAACGCCTGTAACAATAACCATTCCAAAATATTCGTGTGTATATATTGACTTATAAATATGACATCTGCACTTTTTCACAATCGTTTTGTAGAACGTTTGGCTTGAAAATAACCTTACCACTAAGGGTTTTTGGGTAGTCAGGTCTTGGAAGTCAATGCTTCCGAGGCCTGTATGGGTAGAACGATTGATTGCCAAAACACCTTGAGCGTGTGCTACACGAACGCCCGTAGTCTTAGAAATAAAACGTCCGAGCTAAGTCTGATGGTGGAAGAGTTATGTCCCGATATAATCGTTGTTACAGAAACTTGGTTCACAGTAAATATAGACTGTTCTCCGTTCATTGCAGGCTATATCTGCATTAGAAGTGATAGAGTTTCAAGTCTCAAAGGGGGAGGTATAATATTACACGTTAGGGATCACTTTCGTATACGATCAACAATATTGGAGGCTCATATCAGTGGCACATGTGAGGTTGCATGTTTTAAGATTAAATCTAGAAGTGGTTTAGTGAATATAGGGGGAATATACCTTAGTCCGTTTTGTCTTGCTGACGACTTTATCCTAAGACACATCTATTCTTGGAGTATGGCAGAATGTCGTTTCATCATTGGGGAGTTCAACGCACCGCATATCAACTGGGTAGAGCTTACAGCTACTGGTAGTGGTTTCGATAGCGACCTTTTATCTACCGTTATTCAGTGTGCACTTGTACAATGTATCACAAAACCGACACATATTGATTTCAAACATGATCCGTCACTGCTGGACCTCGCCCTCACCCACCACTGTGAGGATGTCTTTGATATTCAACACTTTCCCCCACTAGTTAACAGTGATCACGTTGTAATTCACTTTAAGTTTAGGACACATGGTATACAATTCGTATATGCTCCACCCCGTCCCAATATCTGGCAAGCCAATATTCCGGCAATCAGAAACTGTGTTATCTCGACTGATTGGTCGGTCGACGCGGATGGATTGATCGAAGATGATTGGAATAAGTTTAAACTACATTCGAGTCCATAACGTCGCCGTTTATTCCATGGTCAGCAATCAAGCTATCACACTGCTCTCCATGGATTAATAAGGAAACCCGGAAGCTGTTAAAGCGTAGGAAACATTTCTGTGACTTATTCTTGTTGACAGGTCATGAACCATTTAGGCGTGAGTACCAAAAATTCCTTAATATCTGTAAGAAAACCATAGCCAAATCCCGTACCACTTACGAACGACAGTTAGTATATGATAGCCATACTTGTCCGAAACGATTGTTTCCGTATGTTAAACGGCGGACGAAACGTAGTGATGGTATTCCCCCGTTACTGTTACATGAAAATTCAGGATTACTAGCTGAATCAGATCGAGCAAAAGCTGAGACTTTTTCAGACTATTTTAGCGAAGTCTTCTCTACGTTTATTGTAACAAATAGTTGTCCCACTCACACCGAGATACCAACCATGGAATCTGTACAGATAACTGAGGAAACTGTCCTTCCGTTGATAAATAACCTCAAACCTGGTAAGACACCGGGCCCTGACGGGTTACATCCACGGATGCGGACATTATTTCAAAACCGATCGTGACACTCTTCAACATGTCCCTTTCACTCGCTCAACTCCCTAGAGATTGGAAGGACGCTATAATCAGTCCTATATTTAAGGACGGTCAGAGACATATTGTATCTAACTACCGGCCTGTTAGTCTAACTAGCATAGTCGTTAAGTTACTTGAAAAGTTAATTCGGATTAGGTTGTTAAGTCACATAGATTTATACTATCTGTTAGCTTCTGAGCAACACGGATTTCGTAACAAGCATTCATGCTTGCCTAACTTGCTTATTGCGAGGGAGGATTAAACAGCAGCCCTAGATAACGGTCTGTCTGTCGATGTGATATTCATAGATTTTAGCAAAGCATTTGACAAGGTTTCACACGTAGGTCTTATGCAGTAGCTCACGAGCTTCGGAATAATGGGTACTGTACCTGAGTGAATAGGAAATTTCTTATGTGACCACAGACAGAGAGTGAGGGTAAACGGAACGCTATCCGATTGGAAGCCGGTCAAAAGTGGTGTACCCCAAGGCACAATCTTAGGCCCTCTGCTCTTCCTTCTCTACGTTAATGAGTTACCGCTGTTACTTAGGTCGTTGACATTATTGTTTGCGGATGATGTAAAAATCTGAAGAACAATAAAAAGTGCGGCTGATCATCTGGATTTTCAAGCTGATTTAGACGATTCAGCTAGATGGGCTCTAGGTTGAGGCTTAGAAATCAATGATAGGAAGAGTGTACTAATGCACATCGGTCACGGTAATAGTTACCGTTATACTATTGAGGGTAAACCTCTTCCTTGCGTTCAAGAGCATAAAAACTTAGGAGTAGTATTAAGTCATGATTTAAAAACAACTAAGCATTGCAAAGCAGCTGCTGTCAAAGGTTTTCGTGCGTTATGGTCACTTCGCCGAGCGTTCAAATCTTTTGATGAGGAAATGTTTCGAATTTTATATCCCACCTATGTAAGATCACACTTAGAGTACTGTATCCAAGCAGCTAGCCCGTGTCTGGTAAAGGATACGAACTCCCTTGAGCGTGTCCAGCGTGTGGGAACAAAATTAGTGAAGGGTCTTTCTAAACTCCCTTACGATGAGCGTTTAAAACGCCTAGATCTTTTCCACTTGTCGTATCGTAGGGCACGAGGTGATTTTATACTTTCATTTCGTATCTTGAATTATGATTTGGGTGTTAATATGTCTTATCTTTTTGCTCCCTCCAGCACTAATAATCTCCGAGGTCATAGCAAGAAAGTTTATAAACCAAGATCTAAAAAACTTAAAGTGGGTTCCCGTTTTTCTCATCGAGTAGTCAATGATTGGAACGCCTTACCCAAACAAGTGGTATCAGCCCCATCAGTGAATACATTCAAGGAGAAGCTGGACCTTAACTGGAAAGCAGTGTGTCAGGATTAACACAGGTTCATCAACGTACTATCCTGAAATGATTCATTACATTCTTGTGGATCAATCCATTCAGGTCGGTTATTGGATATTCGATTCGCAAAGGTGAAGATAGGAGGTTGACTGGATCGTTTTATTTATCGAAATATGTTACTGGCAATAACATACTTGACTTTAAATCCATCAACAGAAGTTGCTGACACTACGTGCCCTAATAGAGTGCCAGTAATTGACTACATGATGCACGAAACGAAACTATGGATGTAAGTGACTTTACCTCGGTTTTAGTTCTTCATGGCAGCGTTTCTCCAAATCGTATATTCTGGATTGGCGAAAATACATATATTAACACCGAAATCATTATTCAATATCCAGTAAGTCAGTAATAGGTAATCTTATAAATTACCAAAGTAGATGATCTGTGTTGAATGAGTTAGGGCCTACTCGAGTTAAACGGGAATGTTGTGAACAACAAGTTGACATCAGAGTTACACCTCACGGTTTTTACCTGTGTTGGATCTCCTTTCCGTCGTATCCAGATACCATGATTGCTTTGATGACCGTATAACACAAACGATGTTATCACAGAAATATGTTGGTAAGAGTAAGTACAAGGAACAGAATACTATCACCACCACTAAGCCTGCCAGTCCATGCCGTTTACTTAACTGTTGCGCTTTGCCTGTTCTTGATTTCGACAGCTAATTTCATGGAGACGTTATAATTGAGCATCAACAATAAGTGAGATCACTTAGAAGCTCATTTACTTATAACTGCGGTAATTAAGTAACTGCTAGATATTGTGTAGACTATCGCTAAAATGTTGTGTTCCGATGTAATATCTGTTGCTAAGTAAGATCTGCTAGTACGGTGACCTTAATTCACTCGAACTTGTTTGACACTAAGACGAGTTATGGTAACTTAAAACTGGATGTTAAGACCATCAGTAACGCTACAATGAATGACATTTTATTAATTGCTAATGATTCTAGATAAGCTGGCAAAATATTTTATTTTGAACCATTGGGTTCTTAACAATATTCTATAAGAGTCAGATTTGCCATAATATGTCCGAATAATCGAGAAATTTTTGTTTTCCTTTGCTTAAGCTGTAAACAGATTTACATAAACAAGCGAATTAGCTAATATGGTATACTATAATACAATAGCTAATGATCACTAGTAGAAAAAACAATTAGATTTTGACATAGCTTAATCATTTCAGGTCATGTAGAGAATTCACTAAAATAGTTTTGTGTCCAGCCAATCATTGCATAATCATAGGAACTTTTAGTGGCCCACTATCTGACTCCCATAATATCGTACGGATGATTGTTATTGGTAATATACATTCTGATTATTATCGTATATAATTATCGACTTAGATCGCATTAGTCAATAACGGAATTAAATAAGTCAAATACATGGATGGATTTTGAATATGTAGATTTCATTCATTCATTGATTTGGACAGGCAATCAGGGAATGAAGCAACGAAAGTGAAACGAAATGACGCGCACTGGAAAAGGACTGTGAGCCAACTCCCTTTGATCAAGCATTAATCAATGTTTATATTCACACAAAAATAACTTACAGACATGTGATGAATAGGATAAGAAATGTGCACACATATGTGGGCTTAACATATCAATCGACACTACAAATTTTAAATTAGATGTTCGGTTTAACATATCAGAATATGTCGACTTATAACACCTCTTCTACAATTAAGTTTGTTTACGGTTAATTTTGTGAAAGCCTTCAATTCAGTTATTTAACAATGTTATTAGAACAGTAACAATTTGTCTATTTCTTTGTCTTGTTATGTTTATTATTACTTCTGCATAAACATGTATGCTTGATCACATGTGACAACCTGCGCACATATCTCTTTATCTAAAATGTTAGTTGCTCAAATAT